CCCGGAGCCTGCCCCCGCGCTGGAGGCTCCCGGCTTCCCCCGTTCCCCACCCCGCGAGTACGGGGCCGCAGAGCCTGCAGAGCGCTTCCCTGGGGTACAGGGAGCTTTAGCAGGGAATAAGTGGTGCAGATCAAAGGACCACCAACATTATAATAATCCCTTGACAAAATGTCCGTGAAGGAATACACCAATGTTACCTTGTGAGAGTTCAAAATTATTAGCAAGTCCCAAAAGACCAAAATTCTGAACATTTTTTGGATGCTAAAGAAGCATGTAAGCATTAATATTAATTCTTATTCACGTAGATCCACAAAAGTTTTGCAACAAATTTCAGTGAGTGAATACAAGTGCTCTGCTCTATGAAGTGAGGGGTGAGATTATGTCGATGGCCGCTGCAAGCTCCAGGACACAGCAATGGGAAAGAACACCAGGCTTAGAGGGAAACGTGAAAACAGAATGGGCTGAGAGATTTGAAAGTGCATGGAAGTGGGAGGAAAGGGTTAAAGGGGAGGTGAAGAAATGAAGGTTGTGACCATGGTTAGAGGAAGAAACAGCCCACCCATCCAAGTGCGGAGGGGTGAGTTTCAGGCAGCCCTAATGTCACAAACACGCCTATCCTACCTAGTTTTCAGTTATTTATTCCGGCCTGCCCTCCTGTCTCATCCTTTTTCTTGCTGAAGAAAGAATACTCCAGACTCTCAGCGCCCCATTGCTTGTTCACTTTTCCCAGTTAGTAATAGGCATGCATTTCATTTCAGAGTTTCTCTTATTTTTAACACATTTCCATAACTCGTTCCTGATGCCTTTTAAGTTTTGCTTTATTTTGCTGTACAACCATTCTCTCATCATCCCCCTACGTTTGTGTTCCTCCTTTACAAGCCCTGTTTTCGCAGTTTGCGTGAGTCCTGTTTGTTTTCTGGTCGCTCCTGAGGCAATCAAAGGTCTCTCTCTGTGCTCCTTGTCCTTGTTGAAGACCAGAGAGTCTGTCACTGAGTCTTTCTGAAGGAGAACTGGCTCTCCCGTAATCCCCTGTTCCCGCAGTCTGTTTTTCTGCATGCGTACGTCCAGGCACGCGTTTGCAGTGAGAGTTTCTGTGGTCCTGGCACTGACACGGTCCCTATTTCCCGTATGAGCTCGGGGGACTGATGGAGAGCAAAGCTGGCCTGAGTCTCACTTTCATTATTTTCTTTTTTTCCAGCAATGTACTTTCAGTGTCACTAAGCTAAGTGCATGTGTTCACTATTAGCACAAATTAACAGACAAAATGAGTTAATTAGAACTAAACATTAAACTAATTACTTCCCCTTTCAAATGCTTTGAAGTAAACACAGTACATAAAATTTTTCTCTTCTTGGTTCCTTTTTCCTACCAAGCATCAGTGTTTGGGAGTGCTGGAAGGTGTTCTCTTCCCAAAACCTAAATCATTTCCATGGAAAATCTTTTCCGCACTTCAGGAAACTAATGTCAAGTTTCTCTCTTCCACCCTCCTGACCTCCAAAAAGTGGCTGATGGGGGTAAACTCTGCAGAAATCCTGCCTGAGCCCTAGGCACCGACACGGGCAGATCTGGGGAAATGGGTTTATCTCCTTCCACAGAAAAAGGCAGGAAAAGCCTGAATGGGTCAGTGGTACAAAAGTGCCGTCTCCCATGAGGTCGGCAGGGATTTGGTGACTATGGCTTGGAAAAACTGCAATGCAGGGTCCTACAAGGCCACAGCACTCGGCAGCCAACAGACAAAAATCCACATTTTGTCCACGGGAGGTGCAGAGCCAGCAGCTCTAAATCCCATTGCCCCACCAGCATGCTTCCCTTCGCACCGGCGTGGCCGAGCTCTCGTGGGATGGGACCCTGCTCCCCGTGGTGGTCCACGCATCTTGGCCAGCAGACCAGAGTTAAAGACGTGCTGGGTTTGAAGCACTCAGCCGTGGATGGAGCTCCTCTGCCCGCCGCAAAGGTTTTTCCTGCAGTTCCTACACATGACATTACAAATCCTAAAAAGTGGAGAAGGACAATCTAGATCTGCAGAGACTGGCATAGGAGAAGCTGAAAAGCCTCTTGTCCCTGGCTGTCCCAGGCACCAGCACCTCTGCTTAAAACTGATCAAGGCTCTAGAGCTGGGGACAATCCTGGCTTCCCCTTTTCTCAGCATGTATCTCATGCAGCTGCGCTACCAGAAATGGAGCTCAGCATTTGGTTTTTCCCCCCCTTAAAATTTAGGGCTGTGTTGTGTCTGGGAGACATCACTGCGGGTGAGGACAGGCAGCCCTACGGCAGAGCACAGACTCCCACACTGCAGAGGCACAGAGCTGTGGCTTGCCTCCATTGGAGGTGCCCAGGAGTCACTCGTTGGGGTTTTTATCTCATCTACCAGCACAGAAGGGGCAGGCAGGACCCTTAAACTACTTTCCCATCCCAAATTCAAAGATACCCCTCTTGGTCCAACGAGTCCTTTGAAGGAGACACTGCCATGTCTCGGAAAGCAGACAGAAACCAGAGAATTGATCTGTTCCTTATTTCCAGATTCCTACCAATTGCAGTAAAGCTCCTACAGCCAGAAACAGCAGAACAGTTAATCAAAAGGCATTAAAGAAAATGAACCACAATGCAAGATATTATTGAAGCCGAGAATCTGGTACGATTCAAGGAAAGAGCAATATCTGCAGCTCTAACAGTTCAGATAATAGTTTAGAATATATACGGCTGTCTTACTTTATGCCAAAAACAATCACTGTTTGCCTCAAGCAAAGAAGAAATCTCTCCCAGAGGCGCACTGTTGCAGCAGAGCTGAGCACTTCGTGTTGGTCACTGTTTCCAGTTGGATGTTAGGCTGGATGGACCGCTCATCCAGTACGGGATGGAAACGCTGCGTGCTGACAAGAGCCTGGGCTAGAACGGCATCATTAAGTGATGAGCCTTCACAAACACACACAAGGATATTTGTTCTTACAACTTTTATTTCTAACTTGTCTGCAGAGATGATGGAACAAGGGGTCTGCTGGCAGCCCGTCCTGTGAAGGCAGCACACCTTCTCACAGCATTCAAACACACGGAATAGAATAGAATATAGAACAGAATAGAAATTTCAGTTGGAAGGGACCTACAATGATCATCTGGTTCAACTGCCTGACCGCTTCAGGGCTGACCAAAAGTTAAAGGAGCAGCATTCGTTTCCAGCCGAAGGGCCAGCAGAAGGACAGAGCTTAACACTCAGTGTTTTGCATTTCATATACAACCGTGATGTTGCAAATGGCAATAAACATAAACAGAGATTGCTTATTCATTCTAGAATGCACTTGTGTGGGACGCAGTACTCTAGTCCAACAAATGTGCTGGAGGTATCTCCATCTTGTCTTTAACACAAGTATGTAAAGATTGAGCCTTTCAGTATTGCTGATTTCCAATGTATGGGACCCCCCCAAATGCATATCTACAACAGCTACATAGATCGCAAAAAAATTCAGCATATCTGCACTCCTCCCAAGAAAAACACCCCCCAGGCTGCCCTCAAGTTGTACCGTGTGGGTTCACAGCACCGAGGCCAGGGACAGCTCTGGGTTTATTCAGCTGTCTAAATGATCTGTTGCATTGTGTATTAAATTGAGTTTTCTAGTATAGATAAGGGTCAGTAAAGCGGTTATTTTAGGTGAACTTTGTGGTTTCATTTTGATGAGAGTCAAGATGGTGAAGTTCTCTTATCTCTTCTCATTTTGGTATATCTCTTATTTCTCATATTATACTGCAACAACAATAACATTAAGAAGCCTCTCTTCCTGTAACCCAGATTAAAGACTGAAATAAGATCATGGTCACACGATGTTAAAGGAGGGGGATAACCACAGGAGAGCAGTAACCTGCACTCACCTTGCTCTTGTTGCGTTGTCCTAGACATGCACAGTTGGCCACTGCAGGTGACAGCTGCCACGTCAGCTGGACGATGGCTGAGACCTCTGGTCATTCTGGGTTCATTAAAATAGACATTGTATTAGAGGAGACCTTATAGCAGGCAATAAGATCCCATGGGAAGACTAGTTTAAGGCATTAATTGTTTCTTAATATTCTTAAACAAGTTCAGCCTGCTTTTCATCTTGATACAAATTTAGCATAAGTATTTTGGAGCTTGTCTTCGTTAGAAAAAGACATCAAGAAAGGATGTGGGTAGTTAATCCCAATAAATGCATGCTTAAGCCTTAGACTCTAAATTTTTCTTAGTAATTACGCATGCTTTTGGGGAATTCTGTCTATGTTAAGCATCGCTGTCACAGATGAACTGCAAGGGCTGTTTCTTGTCCCACAGGTCCCACGAGCCAAGGCCCTGTACACCTACCGAGGGCACAACCCCGGGGAGCTGAGGTTCAATAAGGGGGACATCATCGTGCTGCTCCGACAGCTGGATGAGAACTGGTATTTGGGGGAGGTCAACGGGATCAGCGGCGTTTTCCCAGCCAGCTCCGTGCAAGTCATCAAGCACCTGCCCCTGGCACCACCCCTCGGCAGAGCACTCTACAGCTTTGACCTGAGGAGCAGGGATAAGACCGAAAACAAGGACTGCCTGACGTTTCATAAGGTAACACCACCCCGCAGCAGCCAGGGGCTGGGCGACACGGGCTGGGCTGTTTTCTTCTTTAGACTGTATGGTGTTCTGCTACTCCCCAACTCCATAGGAGTTCCCTTTTGGAAATCACTAAGGTTCCCAAGCCCCCCTGTCATGGTTTAACCTCAGTCAGCAACTGAGCACCACGCAGCCGCTCGCTCAGTCCCCACCTCCCCGGTGGGATGGGGGAGAGAATTGGAAGAGTAGAAGTGAGAAAACTCGTGGGTTGAGATAAAAAACAGTTTAATAACTGAAATAGAATAAAATAATAATAATAATACAAATAATACACAAAGCAAGTGATGCACAGTGCAATTGTTCACCACCCGCCGACCGATGCCCAGCCAGTCCCCGAGCAGCGGCCCCCCCGGCCAGCTTTCCCCAGTTTATGTACTGAGCATGACGTC